TCAAACGCGACACAAGGGGAGTTTCGAGACACGTCGCGACCCAATCGGAGCGCGGCATGCTGACGGCGCGGCTCGGATTGGGCTCAAGGCCAAAAAAAAAAACACTGATGCGTCGGTTCTATGTAGTGTCGAGATTATGTTGAACAACTGGGCTGCTCTTGTTGGTGTTTGTACTGTCGGTGGTCCTTTTTCTTTCGCGCCTGCCACGGCGATGACAATCTTAGTGGAGTGGCATGTGGCAAGGCATGCATCGGTCATCCCCGGGAAGGACCCTTGAAGCGAACGTTTCAACAAATCGGCATTCGACCTGCACGCAATCGCCAAGCGGTGCCACGCTATTGGCTTGATAGAGGACCGCGCTCATGTAGCTGCACAAACGGACACCGTAGTGGAATTATAAATCCGCCTTCAGCGTTTGGAACATCCCGCTCTACGGTTACGGTTTTGCCCGCTGTGAGCCGACTGGCGTTGAGCTACTCCTGTAACCGCAACCTCGTCTCACCGAACCCCCTCCTTCCAAAAAAAAGGAAAGCGGCGAAATGTCAGTGCCGAGCGGGAGGTTTGACATCCTCCATCCTTCTGCTCTCGCTGCTCTTCTCTAATGACGCTCCGCTGAAATGTCAGACCAATTAGCAGCTCTCCGTCTGACATTTAACTGGCAGATAGCAAAACAAACACACAGGGAGCTCACTGGACTGGTCGGACAGATAGTCCTGCGACTACTGGTCTCCTGATTGATTAGGACTGCTGCAGCCGTACAGTTAAATATTAGATATTTATAAAGTCCTCGTAAAGGTTGGAACTCAGGAACTCTGCGTCTCTCTCAAGTAATCAAAGCAGGTAGAGCAAATAATATCTGTCTTTGGCCATTTTGCGAGCAGCCACCTGACATTTCCGAGAAGCAGCCGGCAGTGATCAAAGCTCGTGCGATTCCCTCCTCTCCCTCTGTTCTTCATCTCCTCCTCCTCCTCCTCTTCTCCCTATTGCCTTCAGTCTCCCTCTTTCAGCAGACATCAATCAGGCGGGCTCTGAAGCGTGGACTCGTTTAAAGCACCACTCCATCCACGGCGGCGCTTGAGCTCCTGTCTGTCTTCATTTCTAGGTGTTACCTCTGCCGCCAGCACTGCAGGTGTATGTACGAAGGTGTGTGTGTGTTGTGTGACTGTGTGGGTGAGGCTAACTGTGTGTGTGTGTGTGTGTTCGCCCGGAGCACGGCTATTTTCTACCGGATCAGAGAAGACAGACGAGGCGACGCAGATATTCGGTCACAACTGCACACGTGTTTTACAGCAACAATAATCAGGAGTCGATGCAGACAGTGGAACAAGACGGAGAGTAGGTTAGCAAAAAACAGCACTCCCTTTAGGCCTTAGTGTCATTCACAGTAAATCATATTTTTCTCTGTTTAAAGGGTTGTCTCCCTTGCTTACACACACACACACTCAGACACACACACACACACACACATATACTGAGGCCTGGCCTTCAGCTGTACCATCTGGTATCTAAATCATGTGAATTACAGTCTTCTTCCTCTCCTACGCGCGCACGCACACACACAATAACATGAGAGTAGAGAGAGAAAGAAAGAAAGAAAGAAAGAGAGGTGATTGACTGTCATTCTATTTATCATACATAGTCTCTGCATAAAGCAACATGTGACTTTTTTTTTTTTCTCCATTAGAAATCAATATCCATCTACGCAACAGTGAGCTCTAAATTTAGCCACAAGAGACGGAGAGAAAGGAAGAAGAATCAAAGTGAACGAGCGAGCTAAAGAAAGAAAGAGATAGAGAGAGAAGAGAGAAAAAAAGAGCACAGCTCCATGTAAATTACAATCTTCATGTTGCATTGAACTGTGAGCAACGGCACAGTCGAAAGAAAGGGGAAATGAAGGAGTGAATGAGTGAGTATAAACGCCAGCGCGCTGCCCGTCTATTAAACATTAACAGCTTCATTTATATGTAAATGACCCGACAGCTACAGAGAGAGAGAGAGAGAGAGATGGTGGGATGTAATGTGAGTTCAGTGCGAAAGAGAAGAAGAAAGGAAATGAGGGATGGAAACAGAGGAGAGGACGGGATGGCGAGGACAGGAGAGGGAGACGAGGCTCCTTCATTCAGTAGTCTTTCACATGGGTGGAGAAGTCCACGCTGTCCGATTTTTGTCCGACTGCACGTGCATGGGTGTGCGTTTGGGGGGACGAAGGGGAGGAAAAAAAAAAAAAAAGAACAATAAAGAAATCCACCGACAGTAACGCACACTCCGATGCACGTGCACACACTCCCAGCTGATGACCAATGGAGTGACACACACACATACACATAAACACACACGCACCTCCCTCTCAGGCCTTTCTGAAACCGGGGAAATGAATCCCTGGGCCGGAGGGAGGTGAACCAAAAAGTCGCTTCTTGGTGGAGGAGGGATGACGATGATGACTGCATGTCAGCTCTCCGACGGTTTCGGGGGGAAGATGATGACGAAAAACAAACAAAAAAAAAAACAGAGACACACAAAACCAAGAAAAGAATCTTGAGTGAAACAGCAAAAAGGTGAAGATGAGAGATGGTTGAGTTAGCGTGGTGTGTCGTTTTGCGTGTCGGGGCTAGCTGGGTTGGTCCGGCTAGCGCGGGGGTCGGAGGTTTGGCGGCCGGGCGCTCAGCCGTCGGACACAGGCGGGGACACCCAGCCGTACTTCTCGTGGGTCTTCACCAGGGACTTGAAGGTGGCCTCGGCTTCCTTACGACTGAAAGCTTTCTTGGACTTCCCTGCTTTCCTACATATACGGCCCTGAGAGAGACACAGAGGGGGAAGGAGAGAGGAAACGTGGTTAGGACTGCGTGGACAGATCAAAACTACAGAAAACTGTCTATCGATGGACTCGTTCTTTAACTTGTTTAGGATTCTCAGTGGAGACACTGATGCTGCCGTCTCAGCCAAAACTGCACCAGACATTAAGGACACCATCTTTCACCACATTTCTTAGAATATAAGGAGTTTTAAAGACCTGAGGATCTGAATGTCTATCATTGCAGATGTATTGCATATCATTCCACATTTTGGGAAGCCTATTTATGCTCTGACGTAGAGTTAAATGAAGATTTATACCACAATCCACCGAGTATGTGGTACTTTGTACACTTGAGTTCTAGTATAAGATTACAAAAACAAGCTATCACATGGTAATATGACCACCAGAGATGCTGGAAGACAGATTTTGATATGTTTAGACGAAGCTTGGCAAGCTGTTTGTCTCTGCTTCCATTCTTAATGCTGACTTAAGATACCTGGCTGCAGGTGGAAGTGTTCTAAAAAAGACATATTCTTCAATCTGTTCCCTCAAAGGTCTGATTTTGATCATATTTACAGTTAAACTCTTGAAATGTGAGTCTTTTAGGAGGCAGATATGTTAAAATAAAGTCAAATACAGGGGTTTTAGATTTCCACCAGGAGTAAAACAGCATTAAAACAGAAAGTATATCTGACCTGGTAAATATATATTAGTTTTGCGCAACTTTTTTTTTGCTTTCTACTCAAACTTTTTGTGAGATAGGGCGGGTTTTCCTGTAGAAACATGTACCCATGACCTCTGTATTTGCTGGCCACAGCTCTTCATTTCAGTGCTACGTCTGCCAAAGAAGCTATTTTCGTGCCATACATTTGTTTGGCTGTCTGTCAGCAGGAAACCTTCAAATTATGAATGAATTTTCACCAAACTGAACAGACAAACAGATCCTAAGCCAAAAAAAAAACTATTGATTAGATCTTGGCGATGATCTAATTCTGGAATTCCTGCCATTAAGTGACTAATGTATTTTTGCTCAGCGGTATACAACTAATGGAGACGGAGGCTTTCGTCCAAGTCCTACTCTTGTTGCAGGAGCTGCAAAATCAATTTCACTTTAACTTCCAAGCCAGTACGTGTGGAATTTAATGCCACAACTAACAATTATTGTCATTATTGATCACTGTGCTGATTATTTTCATGATCGACTGATTAACTGTTTGCCCTGAAACATACCGAAAACTGTGGAAAGTAACCACCACAATAACTTAAAGATTGCGGAAGTTCAAAGCACAAAGATCTTCAACTTACGATAATGTAAAACTAAGAGAAGCAACAAATGAGCAGGTTACAGTGAAAAACTGAAGCTTCAAATAAAAGGAAATGTTTCACGCACCCTGCCTTCGCCCTAAGTCGGCTGGGATAGGCTCCCCGCGACCCTCATGAGGATTAAGCGGTGTATAGATAACGGATGGACGTTTCAATCAATCAGTTCCTGTAAAAATCGATGCGTTCCTTGTGTATCTTTCATCTTATTACTCTTGATGACATTTTAGATATCACCACAAGATAGAGTCAAAATAAGAAATGTTCTAATCTGACGCAGATGCCTCCTTTTCCACCAATGGGAACCAAGTGCTTACTTGGAATTTAAACCTTCGAAGGGACAGTTAATTTACTTTTCCACAGGCTAGAGAGCCACCATAGAGTCGTGTCATTACGTCACTGTATTCATCTGTTCGGACGCCGGTTTCAAAGCTTCCTTTGATTTATTCTGAACTTCTGTTGAGGACCACAGGGCACAGAAGCAGTTTGTCTCTCCCATGAACCACAACTAGACAGTCTGTGGTTATAAATGCTGCTGCAAACTACAATCAGCATTTGTTAAAAGACAGTTTATATGCTGGTGTTTGCAACATCACCTATAAAGATCAGCCGGCATTGAAAATGAGACGAACACCTCATCCGGTGTCTAAGTACCGCTGGTTTGATTCAACAGTGAAGCTCTGGTTTTCCTTCTTCTTTGGATTAAGCGAACAGGCTCTGTGTTTTTAAAAATGGTGGTCCCTAAGTTTCCCTTATTGGTCACAAGAATCCCGCACACAGCCCCTAACGTGAGCAGCTCTTGGTTTCACACCAAGGAAGCGTTGGTGCCACTTTGGAACCATTTTTCCTGGCCGAGAGCTGGCTCTTTGGCCGTCGAAGCGCAAAGAGCTGGTCTGAGATTAGACGCCGTTTTCGGACCACCGCTCCAACTGCCTTGGTGAAAAGAGGGGGTAATAATTAAGGCAAGAGGCTTTAAGTAAAAAAAAGATTTCCATGTTAACAGTGATTTTTGCTTTTGTGATCTCCTCAAAAAAAAAAAAAAAGAATATAATTTTCTGAAACTTCAAAAACCAGCACACGTCAAATTATGGATATGCGCCGTCAGATCAAAAAGAGAGACGGTTCTTTTGTTCGCAGTTGTCAGCAGGGTCTTGTCAAGTTCATTTTGGAAATGCTCTTTCAAGTCTTTCCAGACCATATGTAGAGAGACAGAAACACACCCAAGACATGCACATGGATGAAACTGACGGCGAGCGCACAGCTGTAGGGGAGATGTTGACAGGAAGTGGTATGAAGGCAGGTTGACCAACATTAGATCAATGTTTAAAGGCACGGAAAGAGCTTTTAAGACGTCAGCTCCAATCAGAAGTGAAAACATACCCTCCAGTACACCAAGCAACAGGGAGATAAGTGAAGACGAGACATAGCCGCTGCACTGAATGATGAAAGGGTTGTAACATATGACAGAAATACATATATGTGCATTTAACTCTACAGTTCAAAGTGAGAAAAGCACTGTGACATCTGACATTTTCCACCCAGGCATCACCATTTTAAAGCCCTCCCTCCTTCATATACTGAGCTAATAATATACATGGGATAACATGGGGGGGAAATAAATGGAGAGAAAAGGTGTGGGCGTCGCCTGCGATGATAAGGTTGCTTATTCGGTTACTGGCGGCGGCGCTGAGTCTTCCCTGAAGAAGTCTGCGTGGGAGGATGAATGGAAAAAGAAACAACTGTCTTCATGCAGAAAAAAAAGATGGATGCTGGGAAACATGCACAGCCATGACAAAGGTGTGATTCATACCATTGTCGCTAGTTTTTCAACTTGAAAACGTCACAAAGGAGAAGGTCGCGACAAACACATGTGAAGGCACCATAGACCCACTGATCACACTGCAGCTATACTGAAGCTTGTCTCACTAGACCGTAGTAGTGTGTATATATATATATATGTTGGATACTTTATTGAATTTGCTTGTACTTGCTCTGTAACACTGCACCACTTCGCTCTACCCAGAACATTTTCTTGGCAGGGAGAAAGTGGCACCAAGACTTTCCACTGAAACCAATACTAATGAAATTCCCTCAGATGGTGAGCTCCTCCGCATGCTGCAGTGCAGATAAATGCCCTCATATCATTACACATCCATAGCATGCGCCTTAATCGTCCAGCTATCGGCTTCTATCCTGTCTTTTGGGCTAAAACAAACAAACCACGAGGCTAGCATAAGATCTAGTCACTGACACAACTCGGCCATCGTCTGCTGCTCAGTCGTTCTCTCGTTACTTAAAGGATAGTTCTGGGAATGAGGCCTATTTGATTTGAAGTGAGAAGATTGATACCACTGTTATATTTGTACAATATATATGAAGGGAAAGGCGGCAGCAAGTCATGCTAGCTTAGCGCAAACAGTGAAAACAGGTGCAAACAGCAGCTAGCCTCTCAAGCTTGAAAATGGAGAAATGGTTTTAAGTGTCAGTACATTGTTTTTGGTTTAGTTTGCTTCAATTAAGACAGAATTTGCAAAGTCAAAATGCAGTGTTTTGTTTTGTTTAGTGTTCTTGTTTTTCATTTGAAAACTAAAAATGTCCACTGCCAACAAATTGGACTTTTTTCTTAAAAAAATAAAATAAAATAAAATAAATTGGTTACAATCAAAACTTCATTCACGTATATTTTACTGGGTTTTTGTGAGAAATCATAAAGAGAAATATCTAAAACCCTGACAGCTACAACCAAAACCTATCAAACCCCGACAAATCAAAGAACATTTCTTATTGATGAGCCATCAGGTTGCTTCAGTGCTAAACAGGCTACGTTAGCGTGACTAGCGTTAGCTTTTCACTTGACTTTTCAGACTGTATATTTCAAAAATATTGCCAATTTAATTGATTAAAAAATACCTGAATGCACTGATTTATATGCTGAAACAGTAAAAAAAGATTTCTACTGATATTTTACATGCTTTTTTTGATTTTACCCTGCTAGTTTTTTTTGTTTTTTTTGTGTTTTTTTTTTTTTTATACAAAAAAACGGTTGAGCTTTGGCTATTTTTTCAACATTTTTGCTGTTTTTTTTCTTTTTTTTTTGTTTATTTTAGTTTTTCTCTGACCAACATTTATAAAATGTATAGTATACTTTATTGCTAATTATATTTTTAAATGCCTGTTTGTGAATGTGTTTTATGTACATTTTGCCAGTACCACATATAATCAATAATTGTTTTCATTATAACTTAGTATGTTCAGTTTATAACATGTCACTACTTTAACAAATAAGCAAATCTGAGAAGCTGAAACAGCACAGTTTTGATATTTTACCAAGTTTAGTAAGTGTTAAATAGTTGCTTCAGGATGTAAATTGTATGATTAGTGCTTGTGGCCATCGTTTGAGTTGTGTGATAGGAAAAAAAAGCAATAATTTTGGCAGCCTGCATTGGACACTGTGTCCCCAGACAACACTGGCTCTCTCATGGGTCCAAAAGATATCAGCCCACAGTGTTTTTTTAAACTATTTTTGTCTCAACACCAGGATATAAGAATCTAAATATGACATTTAGGTAAACACTCAAGAGATTAAACAAGATACCAAATTATTTCGAGGGGATCCAACCCAGTGAAGAGTTTTACCAAAAAGTTGATCTTAAGACTGCATTTGTGCGCCGCAGTGTGATACATCACACACCATTAATTCTCCCCGCTCCCATGACATGTGATGGATGATCATCATGTCCTATTGCGTACTTGCTCAGGCTATTTTGGGTCAAAACTGATGCAGGGGATAAAGGGGGATGAGGTGATAACATTGAATGATCTGGAGATTAGGGTTACAGTTTCCATTCCTGTAGCAACAGTGGCCTCATTTCACTGTGAGGCTTAGAGACACTCGCACTCTCTGTCTCTGCTGGGCTCTCGGACACATTCTGAAGAGCTTGGCTTATTATTTCCCCTTGTACTTTCATCGGTTGTGAAATCAATCCCAGTTACAAGTGTCCATCACGTCAGCTCATTTAACCTGATATTGAGTTTGACACATACATCGCTGGACGTGAAGTCATTTCATTGAAACAAGGCAGAATGTGGCTGATCTCATTGCCAGTATGAAGGGGATGACAAGATTTTTGAAGCTGATTAGCAGCGGAAATAAAAAAAAAACAAAAAAACTTCACTGTGGATTGTTTTACTTGTTATAAAAACTAAATGCATGACTCACTGAGTGACTCACTCACATATTATATGCGAGGTTTGCTTTCTGTTCCTCTCTTTTCCGAAGCCACAATGGAGGACAACCTCTTTTCTCAAACAGCGGATCAACACATCCTTTAAAATGTAAAACAAACCGACAGGCTGTCACCTAAGCAGCGCTCCCTGAAACCTGCTCAGCCTCTCTGTGCAGCCAGAGGCCTGAATACAGATTACCCAGGCTGACAAACACAGATAATGCACCGACTGGCTACTGTCACAGAGCTAGCTTGACAAAAAGCTAGGATATGTTGTTCTCATTTCAAATCACATGCAGCTTCATTATCCGTGCATATCTCCACATCCCCGCCATATGGTTGCTGTCACCACCTCAAAATGGCGGGCCGCTGCCTCGGATGGATATCTTTATGGCAATTGGCCATCGTTAAAGAGGTGCGATTACCATGGTGATCGATGGCTGGGAGGACCGGTTCCTCGGCTGAACATCGTGTTGTCATTAAACCAATCTCCGTGAGCATCATGTGCTTGTTTTTAACGCACAATGGCGAGCGATTTCTCACTGGTTTGGTCGTAATGCAGACAACATTGTGTGCAAATTAGATGGACTCTTGTTTCCCGTCACTGAAAACAGTTGTTGTGTGCCAGATAGAGGGAGGGAGAGAGGCTGATATTGCCAACCTGTAATGAGAGAGCGTGTGAATGGGACACTGTGACTTGAGTAATTGTGTATTGGTGCACAAGCCTGCACAAAAGTTTTTGAAACGGGGGGAAATCGAGCATTAATTAGCACCATTGTGGTCGAGGTCGTCGGCGAGAATGACATCGCATCTGATGGACGGAAAGTAAAAAATATCAGCTTGTGAGAGAAAGACAAAACAGACGCGTTTGTGTGTTTGTCTTCGCGAATATGTGTGTTGCCGTTCAGCCTAGCGAGCGCCCCGGGCCTATGCAGTGCCATGTCAGTGTTTATCTATCTCAGCTAAGCGCTCGCTCGTTGAGAGGGACACACTCCTGTAGAGTGGCTGCTGGGTAATCGTGTGAATGGAGATCAGTCAATGGGCAGAGCAGGGAAGGCCCCAGTGCATGTTGGGAGGCAGCTCTGGGGGCCGAGGGGGGGGGGGGGGGGATTGCATAACCCAGACATGTGCTTAAAAGGGTCGAGATAAACAAACAGGGATCGATGTCATCATCATCCGCATCAGATCAGTAAGGAGAGCCCCGTGGGAGCGATGGCGGGGTCATTAAAGGGTAATACCAATGTTTGGTTTTGCTAAGTTAGTTTTATTGGGCAAGGTTTCCTGTCTGCACGCTGTCAGGCTGCATGTATCATTCAGATCGAAAGAGCAACAGAATCCATCACACAAAAGAGGAAGTTTTAAAGAGGAATTTCAAGGATTTTGCACATGAGGTTCAGCTTCCTCGTGACAGTTGGTGTGACTCAACCCTACGTGGCTCTGCGGTGTGATTTCCAAAGCTTACAAAAAAACGAACCCCTGATATGTCATCAGGGTCGTCTCAACTGTCAGGGTTGAGGCCGACAGGTTTGAACGGTAGTTTTCGAAACAAACTGGCGTTAAGTAGACACATCATGAAATCTGCTGCTATCTTTGTGACTAAAATCAGGATATCTGTGGCTCAGCTGTTTCAGCATTTTTTAAAACGGTTTTTCAAATCCTGTTTAGTCCGTCTATTGTGATTTTCCCTGATTAGTGTGTTAATCAGTCTATAGAATGTCAGAAGACTAAAAACCAAAAAGCTCCCTTTTCATCTGGTGATCAACAAATTATTGTAGAAATATTAATCTGAGAAACTATTCCTTTAAAACCAAGTCACCTTGAAATTTGTAAAACATGTTTTTAGTGAGCACCTGGCAGTGGTGTGAGATACATCTAACAATAGCTTGATAAACAAAAGAATTTACTCAGAATTCTTTGTTCAATTTACACAACGGTGAGCAAGGATATGTTGGAAAAGAAATCCGTGGCAAGAGGAGAACAGGCTACAGGCAGTATTAAATAGACTATAATTTTAACTGACACTGGTGTATTACCTAAACAACAACACATCAGTACGGATCACATCCCAAACTGGATCTCATTACAAAGACACCTCCAATATAAAGAACCTGACGCTGAGCTTGACCACACTAGATGACTGCACAGGGCTTCATTTCCTGCCACACGAAACAGATTACACTTTGGACAGAGATCGTCTTAAAACTGGAAGCTAAATATCAGAGGAACAGACAGATGGTCACCTTTAGATCTGTCAGATCTCTTCAAATCTCATCCCATCTCAGCTTGCGGGATCGTACGCACGTCTGTGCTTCCTCACATCTGCAGGTGAAGACACGTGTAGCTCTGTTGACTTTCAGCTCAGCGCTGTGTCACTGCATGTATCCTCTCACACTAAAAATAGAGAGGGAGCTTCTAAACAAGCCACATCACTTTTGTCACAGGGAACCGGTGGCCAAGGACGGATAAATATACTCTGTGTATTTAGTTATACATAAAGGTCTGCGCGTTGTGTCTGTCATGATGCGTGAGAGACAAACACATCTCCCAGAAAATTAGGAAACACGCAAGCGGTGGTGTAGACACATATTCACGAAGGAGGCAAACAAAGAGATGAAGAGATGCACACACACACACACTCACACACACTCACACACACACACAGGAATAATTAATCAATATTGTTTCCATTAGCAAACCGGAGAAGGAAGACACTGCACCATAATTAGGGAACACTGCAGAGCTGCTAGCTCATCTCTTCAAGGAGCAAATCAAGATGAACACAGGCACATTTTCCCCTGTCTCTCTCTCTCTCTCTCTCTCTCTCTCTCTGATGTGGGCACAGTTTTTGCATGACCTCTCTTGGTGACAGATGCTTAATGACTACAGATGACTCTGGAATGATGTTCAGTTATATCATCAAAGACCAAAAAAAAATAATACATCACTAAGGTTGGGGGCAGGGCAGGAGAATCCAGTGACAGTTTACATAAGGTCTCATAGCACAGTGTCGTCATACTGCTGATGTCAAAAGAGAGTCGGCGAGGGGGAAGGCACAGAGTCTACGGATGAAACGACTGGAACAGGACGCAACAGTGAACATTTGAAAATCGACAATGATTCTTATTTAGCGGAGAACAGAAAATCTACTCAGAGTTTAAATTATTACGGTCTAAAGTGCATTTGGAAATGCAGCCATTTTCGTTGGAATTGCAGAGCTGCTGCTCCTGCTGCTGCTGCTGCAGTGCACTGAGGATGTGAAAAACAGATTTGACAGGATTACATAATCCAGACAGTCTAAGTCACTGAGGACTACTAGGTAGGCTACCTGCTGTCTCTATTTATCCATCTGTCTTTATATCGTCATCATGTGTTGAATAATTGCTTTAATACTCCTGTAGAATAATCTGGTAGCACCACACATATTATGAGGCTGCATTAGAGCATGCAGGGGGACTTTTCCATCGCATGGCAGCAGGTCTTTGTTGTCAAAGGATGCTGATTTATGGAGGTGATAAAAGGAGAGCAAGCCGAGACTGCAGAGAAGAGCTGGCATGAAGAAGACACCAAGGGTTGCACTGCATGAAATGGCCGCCGTAAAGTCACATAAAGATTAATAATATTCACAATCATGGGTTTGCTCATAGCAGATAGGAGGGGGAGCGAGGAGTCTAGCAATCTGAGATATGACAGTGTTACACTTACAGCACACTGAGTGAGAGAAAATGCTATAAATAGCCCCCATGTATGGAGCAACCTTCAATATTATGGGACATTTATGGATTGTGATGATATTTTTCTTCAAAAATTAAAAATGAAACGGTATTTTTATTCAAATAGGCTTGTTTCATGAATCTTTCCTGTCTTGACAGATCACTCTGGCAGCGTCCAAAACGACACTTGGTTCAACAAATTATAAACACAGGTCGATTTGCATTACAAATAGAGAACCAAATAACCCATATTTTATCTTTTGCACTATAAGAAATACTGGTTTTAAACTCCATATAAGACTAAAAATAAAGAGCCACAGTGGATATATGCGCGTAAGAGTGGTTTTACGCATTAATTACGCATGACGCATGACTGTCTAATGGAATTGCTCATATCCAGTGCGTGACATGACTGGAAATAAATGTACTTAGAGGTGATTAACATGCCGGATGGTTTATGATATTCCAAGCAAAGACCTTCACCCACCCGCCCCCTTCCTTCCCCTCACCTGTCCTTTTACGAGGCTGGCAGCAAACTGCCTCATGACCGCCTCCACCGTGTAGGCGCTGGACCATCCGCGGGGGGTCAACAGCTCCATGCATATGGCCCCGCCGTCCAGCACGTAGCCGTTCTCCAACCGGGGCGTCAGGACCCGCATGAACGGCGGCGAGAAGGGGAAATTATCAGGAAAGGTGACGTTGAGCAGTATGAACTCGGTGCTGGTCTCCTTCATGTCCTGCCACAGCGCCGAGTCCTTGTCCACCTGGTGCAGCTTGACGTTCCAGTCATACAGGTTGTCCTCCACCAGCTCCACCGTGATGAAGTTGTCCCCTAACCTCCTGATCTCCTGTAGCTCCTTCATCAACCTTCGCGTCCGGACCTGGGTGCAGTGTTGCCGGTGAGGCGCCAGCGGTGGTATCGAGGAGGCACTGGTCGCTTTACTCCCGCCTCCTCCCGTCTGCTGCTTCTCCTTCGCATCCTTTCCCTGCTTATCCTTGCCGGTCGGCTTGTCCTTGCCGTGCTGGTCCAGCTTCCTCGCCTTAATCTCCGGGGTGCTCAGGATGTTGGTTTCGTTGGCGGTCTGACAGTGTTTGTTGGCGTTGTTTTTCTGGTTCCCTTTGGTCCCCTTTAACGAGCCCTGGTGGTGCTTTGGGTCCTCAGTGTCTCGGTCGTGCAGACGGATCAGACCGATCTTCCGCAGTAGGGTGGCCATAATTTTTTATAGAATTATATTTCTCCGCCGATCCCCCCGCACAGGGGCGAGATTCACCCTTTGGAGTCGGTTCCCGCTCACAGAGACGACCTTTATTGATGCTGATTATTAACCTTGTTATACCGCAATCCCCCCTCCGTTCACTGCAGCCTCAGGATGAACACAACCGGGGGAGCCTGTGCTGTTTTCTCCTCAGTGCATCATCTCGACGCGGCTCGACTACAAAAAAAAAAAAAAAAAAAAGCAGAAAAACAGTGAAACAACAAATAAACGAGAGCTTAGATGAACACTCGCATCTAGACAACATGAAAATGGAACAAGTGTTGTCACGTAGATCAATGGGATCCAGTCGTTTTTTTTTTTTTTTATCCCTACAAGTGGACGGACGTTATGACTGCAGTTGTTCAATGATAGGACGATGCGTTACGCAGAAGCACTGAGCTGATCTTATACTCGCCTACATTTTAAGAGAAGGGTGAATAGTATATGATCATGGCGTAAAAATACAGGATGCAGGAATGTAGACACCAGAGGAAAAATCACAGAAACAAGCAAAGGATGCAGGATGGACAGGAGGGGAAGTAGTGCACTCCAAGGTTGCTGTCGCCCAACGTAAAGAACACTTTAGACTCCTGTAGGAATTGCGCATGAATAATACAGAAACACAAGCTGTAGGAGGTAAAACGCTATTACTAGTCATATGCATTAGCTATGAAGGCATACACACCACATAAGCTGATGGAAAATACTATAGAATATATAATCAGTGAGGAAAAATACCAAATAACCCAATGTGGCCACTGTAAGATCCGTATATGGTTAGAAATACGCACTTAAAGTCCTGCTCTATGTGAGAACAGAATAGATTTTCCTTTATCTCTCTTCTCCTGCCCACACACACACACACTCAGACCAACACCAGCAATCCGACAGCAGCCTGTTCTTACCGTGGACTGGTCAAATTCACAGTATGTCCCGTTAAATGTCCCGTTTACGCAGCCCGGACACCGATCCTGCCGTGCGTAAAATAAAAAAGACAAACGAAGAAAAGGCTCCACCATCCAGTAAGACCTGCCGTCGGTGAGAGCTGCGGTGAAAGAAGAGGAGCTGAAGAGCCTTTGATGTGTGTGTGTGCAGCTGCGGCAGCTCCAGCTTTAATGCAGCCGAGGACGAACCAACCCCCGGTAATCCTGCTCAGCCAGTCTCCGCTCACCGGCGAGGCGCTGCGAACGCTGCGCTTCAAAATAAAAGTCCCGAAGTTGGGAAACGTTTCAAGCAAATCGTCGTTCTCATGACACATTCCAGTCAGCGATTACAACACGGATTACAACATATCAGTTAAACTACATTAATTCGTCTCCTTTACTAATGAAATTATTTGGCCTGCCCCCATCTTTAACGCTCCATTAACAGGCATCTAACCTATAAGACAATTAAAAAAAACACAACACAAACATCAAAAGGTTAGCCAGAAATTGCAGTAAAACTCTATTCCAGGCTGAAACGGTGCTGTAGTTCCTAACATAAATACATTTGCAGACTACACTATCCATGGTTACCAAAACATTACCTTTATTTTGAAGCAGTTTACTTATTTCGTGGTTTATTCTCTGCAGCTTAACGTGTTTACCTGAAACAGTGGCGGTTGGCCAGAAGGAAGATGCCAGGGGAATGTAATGTCAGCGTCACTGACGTTCACTTTAAGTCTCCTCTTTTGTCTCCAGTGAAGTCAGCACCAGTGTATTTTTACTCAAAGTGAAACCGCCTTTTACTGTAAGCAGAGCTCAGCATTATTCTAGAGGTTAACTGGAATCAACAGGCGTTTTGCAACACTTTCTACTTGTGTGCAGGAATATGTGAATAGCAGTGTGAACTCCAGTCCTCAGGATCTACTGTAGAGCAGGTTAGCTGCAGTCTGCAGCTGTAAAGATGGAGAGTGAATACTGTCCTTAGAAAAAAATACTGGCTCTTAAATGGTTCTCTACAGGCCTCTGGTTCTTCAAAGCGCCATCACCAATGAAAAAGCCTCTTTATTTAGGCAATGGCCCCTAATGTGCTATATGTGGTTCTTAAAGTGCTAAAGATTCTTTGTTAATATAGTTTAGTGTCGGGTAGTAGGGTAAAATTACTTTATAATCATTATTAAATCATAATCATTAGGTCTGTAAACATTAGAAAACAGATATGCCGATCATAGTTTCCCATATCCCAAGTGTAATTTGTTGTACGGTCTGACCAACATTCTAAAAATCCAGATATTAAAAGTATTAGAATGGAAACCCAGAAATGGTGCAAATTCCCACATAAAAATTAAACAAATGACCATTAAGTCCTGTTATCAGAACAGAACCAGGTGGGTTCACAAAACACTACCTTGTAAATGGTGCTTAAAGGTTTTTCCTGTCAGTAAAAATTCTTCTTGAACAACATCACTGGGAAGAGCTACTTTTGATTCCAGTTACCGCCATAATTTTCTGAGTGTGCTGAGTTAACAGTCGTACTTTATATGGACACAAACTGTCTCTGAAATGTTGTGCTTTCATACAGCTTTATAAAGCCCCTCTCTGATCATTAATTAAAGCCCTAAATACTCTTTTCTGTGTATCAAAGTTACATATTTAGATTTTTATTTCCCAAGAAAATAAATCATGTTCATGCTTTAAATTATTTTGATGTAACTGTACACCGGTGCTCCCTTGAGAATGTGCAGGTTTATAAAACACCCGCCTGCCTCTCTCTGCACACACCTCTTCTCACCTGCAGCACAAGCACACAACAATGTGAAACTACCCCAGACCACAAATTGGTAAGTTGGAATAATTCAGCCACATCTGTTCGAACTGCAAGTTGAATGTAAAGAAGTTAAATGACACAGAAAGTCCCATCCTGCAATTTGACAGGATTAGTTCCTGAAGTTTGTGACATATGAAATCCTGGAAGTCTAAATCTGTGTTTTTGAGACCGTGAGCTGGACACTGCAGTCTGAAGGTGCAATTGCTCTGCCAAGCTGTTGAAAATGTTGTTTCACTCGTAATGTTTCTTTCACATCATAGAGAACACGATATAGACATGTTAACAAGGTAAAAACAAAACAAAAAAAACCCCCACAACCTTAATTTTCACCCTTTACGTAGCAAAACAAGGGAGTCGATGTGTATCTGAGAACATCTACAGCAGGAGTGTCCAATCCTGGTCCTTGAGGGCCACAATCCTGCATGTTTTAGATGTTTCCTTCTTCCAACACACCTGATTCAAATGATCAGGATCGCTATCAGGCTTCTGCAGAGCTTCATGCTGAGCTGATCATTTGAATCAGGTGTGTTGGAAGAAGGAAACATCTAAAACATGCAGGATTGTGGCCCTCGAGGACCAGGACTGGACACCCCTGATCTACAGCAATTTGAGCCACACCTGAGTGAGTAACACTGGGCTTAATAACCTGTCAGCAAAACGGTTGTTTTAGTCTTTTAGTCTCAGTCAGGCTTAATCAAACATACTGGAAAATCAGCAGTGAAAAAAAACTAACACTGTGCTATGTATGTATGTTTAGGCAAGTTTTATCAACACAGTCAGCCTACAAAGTAGCCTAACAACACAATATAGCTCGTTGGGGCGTTGAAACACATTTTGGATGTTGCATATATTTCCAAATTAAAGATACTGCGATAAGTAAACCTGCTAAAACATATACCATACTGTTATAGTCAGCGTTGGTCTGCAGCACAGCGGTACATTCATTCTGTGGTCTTGACAAAGAGGCTTCCCTCTAACCGGCAGCACGACACTTTGATACGTAAACGGCAGTCTGTCATCGGCTGTTACCAAGGCAGCAGAACAGTCTGCACAGTGATTGGCTGTTCCATCGCCGTAAAGTGCTTCGATATTGCAGCCGTCGTAGTGTCGGTGGCTAACAGTAAACAGCGATAAATTGATTAAAGGATTCTTCTAAACGGGGTGATTTAGATTTTTTCTTTTGGGTGGTTTGATAACAGTTTGTTACGATGGCTGAAAAATTCGATAACCTCGAAGAGCATCTGGAGAAATTCATCGAGAACATTCGACAGCTGGGAATCATCGTCAGCGACTTTCAGCCCAGCAGCCAAGCAGGACTCAACCAGAAACTGTGAGATATATTTTACTTGTCTCCTTATAGCGACAAAATTCAGCAACTAAGCAGTCTGTTAACCTGCGTTGTGGATTTTTCTCCTCAGAAATTTCATGATATCCGGCCTACAAGACATCGAGAAGTGCCGTCAGCAGCTTCATGAGATCAACGTCCCTCTGGAGGTCTTTGAGTGAGTCCAGTGATCAGGTTTTATTTTTTTGCATGTCTTGCCTCTGTTACCTATATAATTATATTTACTTAATATCTCCGTTGATCCCTGTCATTGCTGTGTAACTGTGAATATACACAATGATGTTTTGAGAGCGAGCATATCGTTTGGCGATAAAGCCGCACCAAACCCCATTTAAAAATCTTTACATTTTAGACTTTCATTACTTGTTGACTTAGTTGTCAATATAACATGCTTTATATTGCTGTTACTCTGATTGCTTAGAGTCACTGTAACATTCGGCATGCACATATCGAAAAAAAATGATATTGATGCCACTCCACAAAATACTATATTTAGTAATAGGATTGCTGAAATCGTAGAAAATAAGCAAAAGGAATAAGCACAGAGCAAGTCAAAAAGTGGCCCCAATGATTTAGGAAGGCTCTGGAGTCTTGTATATTGTGGAATGTGTCTTTGCCCAAAAGAAAAAGAGACTGACTGATTGAATTTATAATGCTTTCTTTGTGCTTCCTGGCTTTGTTGCATAATCGTGTGATATTAAATGTGTTTGTAGATACATTGACCAAGGTCGAAACCCTCAGCTGTACACAAAGGAATGTCTGGAGAGAGCCTTGGCGAGGAACGAGCAGGTCAAAGGAAAGATAGACACAATGACGGTAAGAGATAAGGCCAGGAACACTGGAATCTTCCCTACCAAGGACTTTACAAGAATAAACAGAGCCATTAAAATATTTCACCGATCAAATGCTCATGCGCATATTTAGAGTTTCTGAAGAGATAAAAGAGTCCTTTTTATTACACAAACAGCCGTGTAATTGCTGTAGCGTTTTCTGCTAAAATGCCCTTGTTGTGTCTACCGCTTCCCTGTTATTTAGTAATAGAAACAGATACCAGGCAGATTTATTTTAGGCAGCACTTATCAGGTCATAAGTTGTCCTTGGATGGACAGTTATCTTCTTAAATGAATCAGTATTAAAGCAACGTGTGCTGTTTCATTTTCCTTGATTACAGAAATTCAAGAGCCTTTTAATTTCTGAGCTCAGCAAAGTTTTTCCAGAGGAGATGGCCAAGTATAAGGCTATACACGGAGAAGACGCCCCCTCCTAGTGACCGCTGCACCAACAGCCCTGACCTTCAACCTGTGACCCTTGAAATGAAAGCATGGATGAAGTTTGGTCGAGCAGGATCCTCTGTGGTTGCCAGCAGAACATGATAATACCCGATTATTATTTGTCATAAATGTTGCGATGCTGTCTGTGAGCTGCTGATTGGTTTCCCGAGGGAAGAGGTTTTTATTTCTGGTCAGCACCCTGACTCAGCCAATCCTGTCCTGTCGCTACATTTAAACTTCATGTAAAGAATTACAAATAAACAGCAAGTTGAGAGGGGAAACAGATACTTTTATGCACTGGTTTGTTAACTCGCAAGGGTACACATTCATTTTTTTTATGCCCCTGTTGATGCACGGATACTGAATTAGCAGCGGAATATCTTTTTTTGGTTTAAATTTTATTTTTTTTAAAGCTGCAAGACTCCTGTCTGATCCTGCATTAAAGAATTTACTCCATCAGATGTACATACGATCTATTTATACTCTGCCTTTTTGTAATGCTTCCCAACCATTGTGCAACATACATTTGTAAAACCCGCAGTTCATAACATTTTGTATCAAGCTCAGGTTTCTAATGGCCATGATTAATGAATGCAAATGTCATTTGAAGGTAATTCTGTGCCTGATCACGTGACATGGTCAGAAATGAGTCCACCATTTCTTTGTAACTCGTTTGTATTATAGTGTTTGTTAATAAATGATCCTTTTGGACTGATGCTGTGTTTTGTCGGCTTTGTTGTGAGGAAAAATTGTGGGTAGTATTGTTGTGGAGAGATGTGTACTTCTAAACGGTAGTGTTAATTAGTTATAAAAGATGCAAATAAAGTACAGTAAATAATACTTGAGGAGAATGAGACGTATTTGTTGAAAGCCAGCTTAAAATAATACATCTAATATAAAACAAATATGGGTGGTTCGATCGTCTTTGGGCAAGACACTGAACTCCAACTGAGTGAGTATGAGAAACACATACAGCCTTTTGTAACACCCACCTATAAGTGTGGACCACTATCGTAACAAGGTCGGCTATTGTTACTGTTCCAAGTGTGTTCTGGTACATGCAGGTATGCTTCCTTTACGATATCGTTCCTGGTGATGAAAGGTCTGTAATATTGTAGAAGAACAACCACAGTATGTGTAAAAAGTAATACAGCTGTGTTTTGATTATTCCTCTTGCCATTATGACAAAAATGAATTAACAATATTACATGTGTAGAAGTTATTTTACAATCCAAGAAGCAGCATAAATGATTTAAATATGTCAGTGGAACACCTACAAACATGACCTGCATGGACTGGTTGACGTATCAGTGACGTCTTTGTGGTCATTCACCCCCAAGAGCTGCCGTCCTGTATTGAAACCATAGCCTTCCGGGATAAGTGTGTCTGCCATACTTTAACACAGAGACAGATGCTCCAGAAACACACAGGGCTGCGTCATCGGGCAGGTCATAGCCCAACACGCCTCCTCCTGCTGGGGCTTAACTACAGCGTCACGCCCCTCTGACCCTGGAGGCCGATCCTTTGAGACAGAAGGAGGGAAATGAGCCCTGTTATTGGTTTGTGATCTGCCGTGGGCTAACACAGACGGCCCTTTTCCCTCACTGTCAGGCTTCCCTGAGGACTTCCGAACATGCGTCTCATTTAGTCGACCGTGGTTTAGTGAGGACTCAACCTCCACCTTTGCTTGAGGAAAGGAGAGAGTCACAGAGGCTGTATTGATTTGATCTGGTTTTGGTTTTTCAGTTTTAGGTGTTGCCTGTTGCTGTAAGCATTGTGATTTATTTAACATGCTGCAGATGTAGTTAATTCTCTCTTTAGAAATCAACATAATTAGTGAACAACTACAACGAAAACACATCCTACTCTTCTCATTCTCTTGTGGCATTAGTGCTTCTGGTGCTGGCTTGGCGTCACACGCTCTCCCCATAGACTTCATAATATGTCGCACTTTAAAATTGCTTTATTAGACTCTGGGAGTTATACAAACATAAAACCACTGTGCATAGCATAAAGTAATAATTTACCTTGTTTGTATTTGGAAACAGGAACAAACAGCGTGCTGAAAAATCATCCGTTACTGTTGGCAAGGATATCCGTGTGCACAGCCACAAAATATTAATTTAACAGATGCTTGATATAAACTGCAAGAATTAAGAAGAAAGTTTTATTTTAGAGTGAGTTGGGAGCTTTTTTATTTGTATGTATAATTTCATTCCAGTGTTTATACAGCTAGAACTAACACAGCAGTGTTTAGTCTCTTGGCTGGAGGAACATATTCTTAATGAAATCCACCAAAATCACAAAAGTCTACAGGTAGACGTAAATATGTTGCTTCGTTGGTCGATGAGGAGACTTAATCTGAAAACAGGCCAAAGACAGTCACATTGGGTCCAAATAGACCAGAGGAAGGTTAAACTAGATCCAAAATGCAACTGACCCAAATATAGGACACCAACACTGGCGGCTGCATTTTTATCCACCAGTTATTGATCAGCTCAAACCAAAAAAAAAGAGTAGAAATGCATTTATTTTTCCAGTTCACAATGTCTGTCTCATCACAGCTTCATTTGAGTAAGAGGCAACTGGATGGGGATCTAATCTGCCCTATGGCCTGTATCCTATCCTGAAGCTGGATTTGGGTAGATTCTGGCTTAACTCTGGATTTTCAGGGTTATGGTTGTGGTTTATTTCTTTCTTTTTTTTAGATTTAGTAAAGAACTGTCCACATATAAAAACCAACAGACAGACATAGTAACACGGACGTGGTTTTAAAACTCTTTGGAGGTGGAAAGAGTGGAAAAGTTCTGGCCCAGACAACATCGGTGGCCGTCTACTTTGTAACTGTGCAGGGCCGTATTTTCACAAAATCACTCCAACTTCATAAGATCCTTCGCCTCTGGAAGAAATCGATGCTTGTTCCTAAAGCCCCATCATGCCTAAATGACTTCAGTCTGTGGGCGCTCATTTCTTTGGTTATAAAAACCTTTGAGAAAATGATCAAAAATGAGATTGTGACTCAATGCAGATTGAGACTCACTCCAGTTTGTTTGCAGGTCTGTTGAAGATGCCATATATATCCTGCTTCACATCTGTACAGAGTAAAGAATTTTGTACGGCTGCTTTTTATTGATTTCTCTTCAGCTTTTAACTGCATCAAACCTCATATTTTACCAGATCGTCTCACCAGCTTTTACAACACTGACACTGAGCTCGGCTGAATATCGCAGCTGGTTGAATTTTTAACTGACAGACTGCAGAAAGTGAGTCAATGGCATTGTATCTGATAAGCTTTTATCTTTTAACTTCCCCTGTTGTCTATTTTCTCTTTTCTGTACGTTTTGCCGTGTTTTTGTGCTTCAAAACTATCCCCACACTATCCCACAACTAACCAGATGGGGACCTGGCGCATGACGCACACTTTACGCACCGCTTCTCATGAGCCGCTGCGCGCGGCTGCCACAACCGCCACACACACACAATCCTGCCTTCCCATATACCCACGTCTTCGTCTGCTCATTGGCTACAAGTGTATAGCGTCAGAGAGTGTCTGCAACCCGACTGGTTGAATCTACGAGGGTGGAACTTGTGCGTACCGGGTTGACTGTCTGAGACACTCCATTGGCTCTTCCGGCAGTGAGTCACCCACCAAAGCCCTCATATTGGCCAAACTAGGTGTCAATCAAAAGCTGAGACGTCCGTCTAGCTGACTGTAGCCTTTCAGCGCGATCTAAAATAGATTCAAGCTGATTTTGCCATAAGAAATGAATAAAACAGCCGGAGCTGATCTCAAGCTGGGAAGACATTACTGCAGAATTTGTGCCTTTGAGGATCTAATACGTTTTACGGACCAAATTATTTTACGGGATGATGTTGACTGGTTCTGTCCGGACAGAATGAGACCAAGCTGGTGAGGAATGAGCGATGTTTGAGCTGCAGAGAGCCTTCAAAAGTAAGAAAAGTCGGATTTTAACATTTTGCTTTTCTGTACAAAAAGCTCTTTGTGTCAACGCTGTGGCTGCTGCAGGTCAAAAAGGTTTATATCATCGGAAAGAGGAGACTCTGAGCTTTCATTTGATGTGTATGTTGTCGGGAAACTTGATTGTGGAGCATGCGCACATCTGGCTGTAATGTGTTTGGAAAGTGGTCACGTCCCGCCGGCGGGCCGTGGGAGCAGTAAGGGCTTTAACCTGTTCCTTCTGTTTTTATCCATGGTCAGGCTGTTGAAGTTGTCCGGCCTTACAAGCTCAGGGCAGCTATCATCAACACCAAACTAACCTTTCATTCAAACACTGAGGCTGTTTGTTGAAAGGCTCACTTGTATTTTTATCACAGACTTCAATGTGGACACCTCTTTCATGAAAACGTTTTACTCTTGTTTTACTGAATGTGTTTTAACTTTTGCTTTTATATGCCACTTCGGGTCCCTTACCGTGAGGAACACGAACAGGTTGGAGGGAATTGTGGAAGTCTCAGGGACTGACCTGAGAAATCTCTCAGTGCTTTACAAAAAAGGCCCAGTCGGTTCCAGCCATCGTCTGTGTGGTGAGTTTAAGTCGCTCCCTTCTGGTCTCACATATTGTCTGTGTAGGTGCAGGACCAACAGATTTAAAAACCCATTTGTCCCTGCTACCACTGTCCTTTTAAACAGCACAATGCTATTTTATATTATTTTAATGTATTTATTCTATTTTATTTTACAATATATTTGCTTTGTCTTTGATTGATGATGATTATTTTTAATCTATTTTATTTTATCATGATGTTTTTAGTCTATTGTGTGTGGAGATTGTGTACCACTGGGGCGTACTGCTGACTGCAAGACAAATTGCCCCTCGGGGATAATAAAGATTACCTTAAACCTTAAACCTTTCTTGGGTGCATCGCCATGGCAACTTATGATAGGCACTTAACCTGCTCTGCAGAAGGTTACTTTCAAGATGAGCGCTCACATAAAAAATCACCTCCTACTGACCAATCGGTTTTCTGGTGTGATGGCATCACTACTCCTGGAGGATCCCATAATGCTCAGGGAGCTCATATTGAGGCTTTTATAATTGTGAACACATTCATTGTTTTACTGGGCGTCACTTAGTGGGTTGATTCATGCGTTTATATTTATTCTTTACTTACTCCCCAGACGATTTAACACCACCAGGGTTGCAGCTGAAAGAATAAGGCTGAAATAATCGGACTCACTATAATAATAGATCTAAGTAACATGATTTATTAGAATAAGGAGTCATAGCCAGATTTCCTCGTGCCCTAATGATGGGAAAGTGTTATTGATAAGGTTATTATCTTACGCATTCACACAGTCAGCAGTTTTTGTCCAGCTTTCCTTCCTGCTTTGGCTGAAGCAGCTCTGTTGCTCTTAGCATGTAATTCTGTTTTTTAAATTCCTCATATTGGTTTAGTACTGGTCTGTCTCTAAGTGTAGCCCTGTGATAGACTGGTGACCTGTCCAGGGTGTCTCCTGCCTTCACCCTAAGTCAGCTGGGATAGACTCCAGCACCCCCGCGACCCTAGTGAGGATTAAGCGGTGTATAGATAATAGATGGATGGTTTAGTACTGTAGTTTATTTTTCTCGTGAGAAATATACAGCTTTACATCTGTCCATGTTTGTGATCAGGTGTCAACACATTCATCACTTGATTCTGAAACAAGCTTCATGAGCTCGCTTAGCATGACTGTAGTTGTTAGACTAAGTGAAG